GACATTCTGTGATTCTATGATTCTGTGAAGCTGGTACTAATGTCAATCTCTCTGTTAAAAGTGTCTCCTCATCCATGTTCTAACAGAGTCAGGCAATGCTCGAGCTGCAGATTCGTGTCAAAGAGCTACAGACAGAAAATTATTACCAGCTACGTCTCAAAGATATGTACTGTAATGAAAAAATAAAGGAATTAGAAGAGAATTACACTTCGGAAATAGGCTCCCTTAAAAACAAATACCAGGTATGATTCATATTGCAGAACCAAATACCAAGAAATCTTTCACTGAAGAGTTGAGTTCAAGCTTGCATTATATATGTGTGAATTGCATGAAGAATCTGAAAAATGAAGCACTCCCTTCCAATAAAGATGTTCTTGATATCTGTGAAGCATGCAGCTACCTTTGAGTCAAGTATCTTGTCAGTAAAAAGGGATGCAAAAATTCTCACAGGTAGCCCTTAATTATCTTAACATAAAAACAATTCCAGCAATAAATGCTGCTCGAGACCAGGAATCAGTAAGCCGCTGTTGAGGAGAAATGAGACTACACCTTAAAAGCTCTGTCACATGTAAGCTGCTGCAGGATCCAGCAACTATTCTTCTTAATGCTGCCTTGCCCTGACCGCTTACCTTTTTTAAGATCTGCTGAAGTGTCTTGCATGCTTTTTAACAACAGAAGTAAAATATATTCCCTGGATTTCTTCTGTTTGTGTGTTTCCTGCTTTCTCTGTGGGCATGAAGCGGGCTTTCCCTGAAAGGCAAAAGCCATGATAATGCTTCCCAGTGTCTTATCTGTGTCTGTTCGTTCTAGTCTGTCCGTTTGTCTGGTGCATACACCAGATTTCTGATCTGTAATTTGCTGGACCCTTTTTAGAGTTGGAAGGCAAGTGATCCAGTAGCAATTTCTCTGGCAGTATGATGGCTTGAAATGAGAGATTACATATCACATGATTCAATTCCATCAATGTCCTGTACTTTTCGAGCTTTTGGATTAATGTTATCCTGTCCTGGTGATTTGTTACTGCTTATTTTGTTGAATTGTACATAGTGCCTTCTAGCAGTATTTCAGTTTGACTCTATACAGAAGGATTCCAGTATGAAAGCCTGTCAAGTTCCTTACCAGTTTTATTATTTTATAGTCTCATCATTTTCAAGTGCTCCTTTTATACCTTTCTGGTCTTTTGGCCCTATATATGTTCTGACAGGTTTCTGATTTTGATTTTTTTAAGGAAGTTTAATTATTCATTTTAATATCTTCTTTAAGTAGTTCCTCAGGCTCTTTGGCTTTTCTCAATGTGATTTTTGCATTTAAGTAACCTGAGCTTCAACCTTTGTGTTTTTCCTCGTTTTGTACAGCTTGACAAGAAATCCATTTCCTATTTTATGGATTCCTCTACCTGTGTTTTATCCGTACTGGTTTCCTTCTGTGGTTCTTCAGGTCTTGTCATAGGTGGTGCTTGGCTATAGAGTTATAATAATCTCAACTACACTGAAACTTCTTTAGGCTTGTTGATTGTAGGCTTACAAGCAAATGCTTTTGAAGTGAGTAAAAGTTCTCTAGACAGGCAGGTTGTACTTCCTGTCCAGGTATCAGTACATGTCAAGATTAAACTGAACGGCTTGGGGCTAACCTTTCTAGTTGTTCTGTTCAGTAGGCAAATGAAGTATTTCTGCTTATGTAAGACCCATACAGTTGTCCTGAGAAGAAAGTGAAAAAATTGAACCTATGGTACAATTCTCAACTTTTCTGGGAAATTTCTCACCCACTTTCTTGTTCCAGTTCTTTGTGCTTTTTTAGAAGATTAAGTCATTGGCAGTGGTAGTCAGACATTCCAAGCAAATGGCATTCAAAACTCACTTTTGCTTAGGTTTATGTCACTCTATGCAAATGTCAGTGGTTTAGGACCTCAAGGTTGCTTTAAGCGAGACAGGAAGCAGCTTGAACTTTAATATCTGGAGAACAATTTGTGGAACTGCAAATTCTCCTCAAGCAGGCACACACAAAGAAGTGGAGAGTTTTTCAGCTCACAAACATTTTTAGGATTAAACAGTATTCTGTATTATATGAAATCCATGTGCTACTTTTCCTTAGCTTTTCATAGTTTTGTAACTTGTCATAATAAACTGACCTCTGGGAAAACTTAGCTTAGTGACACATGGCATCTGAATTTTGGTGAGACACTTACAAATTCCGTTGTGTATGTGTTCCCCACCATGGGCAAGAGCACAAATAATGTGGACGCTGCTTTGCTTAGTTTCAAATTAAAATGTACTTTTCTTATTTTTTTTCCACAGATTTTACAGGAAGAGAAGGAAAAGCAGGAGCTGCAGCACCAGTTGCAACTGTCTGAGCTGATGAATAAACATGCCAGAGAAGTGCAACAGTTAGGTAGGGCTAGTGTTTGTAACTAGAATTTGAAGGAAGGGCATTAAATTCCTAGCAAGTAACATGGCAGGGAGGCATTACAAGAGTACGAGGGAAAATGCATGTACGTCATATAGGTACTGCGAACTAAACATTTGTCTAAACTGCACCACACACAGACCCACGATGAGAACGTGCATATGGGCCCTGTATCTTAAGATGTTTGGGTTTTTAGATTAGTTATTTATTTATTTATCTTATAGCTCAAGAATTGCAAAGTCATGTTGTTCAGGAAGGAAGCTAATGTACAGTGCGCACACCATGGAAATACCCGGACTCCAGATTCATAATAAAAATAAAACAGAAGTACTGCAAATGAGTACCAAAATGCAAGTCCACCCTTAAATGAGTCCGTTGCCTATTGGTACTCTGTGACAGTTGTGCTTATAGAGCTCTGCAATGGTTGTCATCTCAAAGGAATGCCTAAATTAGCTGTTATAATTTGTTGTAATAGCAGAGTAGGAGATTCTGGTGTAGTTTTTAGACTTGGAACTGAACAGCTTTCTGTCCCAATGCAGAAAGTAGGGATACAGCAGAATATTCAGAGACACAACTGAGAAAGGTAAATGATAGCTTTGGAACAGACATTATTAATGAAGTGGTAAATAAAAGGAAGAACAGGAAATTCAAGAGATGGTTTTCTGATGTAAAATTTTGTATGGCCACAGAAGGATAGGATACACTTCTCTTTTCTATTAGTTTTATCTGTTCCATGTGCTTCCTGTTACCAGAATCTGAGAGTAATCAGAAACTTTTAATGGAAAGTGAGAAATACCAGGAGCTGAAAGAGAAATCACAGAAAATGCAGGAAGAATATGAGGAACAATTGCATAATCTGGACGAAAGCAAAAGCAGGGCTGTGAAGGACCTAACAGAACATTATGAGGAAAAACTTAATGAGAAGTCCGTTCTGCTGGAAGAGGTAGGAAACTTGATTTGTGATTTGAATTACTGAGTTTATCTCCAGTTGTGGTAAAATGTTCCCTAAGACAGGAGAGTTTGGCTCCCTCCTTAATCTGCCTGTAACCTTGGGGAAATGCACTGACGGGTAAAATAGTAGTGAGGAAAGCCGAGCTGAGTTACCAGCTCTTCTAGACTTTGTACCTTGAGGAAGTAACCTGCTAAGATTGATAACCTTGGACATTCTCAGCTTCACCTCTCTTTCTTTTTGAACCAAGAATCCCTGTTTTTTAATGTGGATTAAATGATATGTTTACTGTAATTGAAGAAAGACTCAATCACCTTATTCTAGAGGAGATGACATTTCTAAAATAGTGAATTCCTGAGTCCCTGAGGTTACTGCCTGCATAATTTGTAGAACAAAGAGAAATACCCTGAGTACTTCAAAAACTCCTGCACATTAAGGTCAAAGACTTGGCTTGACAAAGGGCAGCCAGATAACTGATACTTGTATATCTAAAGTCAATAAATTCTATCAACATCGCTGTTTGCAGCCCTGTGTTGCAATATCACTTTGGAAAGAATGTGAGGGATGAATGTGAGAAGAGAGACAGATGCAAACCTGAGTTGTTATTGGTCCTAATGAACCAGAAACAGCAATTCTAAAAGATCTTCTTAAGTGTTACTCATGTTTGTGTTTTGTGCATCCAGAACAAGTTTGCTGATGTTGGTATTTGGGCCACGTTCCTAACCTGAAGCATCCAAGGCTTAAAAAGAAATTTTTTTAAGAAGATTTTTTTATGTTTGTCATAACAGTTTTTAAAGTTACTTTTAATCCCCTAAGAACTTAAGTTACCTTAAATGATTGCTGCAATTGAAGAGTCCACTAAACACAGATTCTCCCAGGAGAAATACAGTTATAAATAAAGAATTCTCCTATTCTTTATTGGTCTCTTACTGTCTTCTCTAATCTTTGTTTTCCTTAACTGCAGGCAGAAGAGCATATGAGGCAGCAGCTTCAAGCACATGAAGAAATTACAAAACAAATTGAAGAAGATGGAGACCAAGAAATTTTGGAAATTAAAGTCAAGTATGAGAGACAGCTCTTGGAAGAAAAGGAAACAAACTTGGAACTGAACGGAGAAATAGAAGTCATGAATAAAAGGGTATCTCTTATTCTGTGATAGGATCAGACTTGCATGTGGAGACCTACAGCTGAGGATTTAATATGATTAGTGGCATGTCAGTTTAGTCTGTTAATTTGCTTCTAAATATGTGGCATTTCATATGAGAGCAGTAGCCCCTTCTTATATCAGTTTGAATGTTTTAGAATATTTGGGCACAAGAAGAATCTGTGTGATGGTTCTATTACTGCTATGATTGAAGACAGTTGATAGAGGGGATTTTTTTTTAGAAGTACACTTTATTTTATCTTACATAGTTTTAAATTATCCTGTGATAGGAAAGAAATGAACCTTTTCCTTTTTCCAAGATCTAATGTGTTGCTTGGTAAGAAAAATACTTCTACTGGTTCATGGGACGCAACAAACACTTCTGTGTTTTCTATGCATCATGATTTTTTTGTTGTTTTACTAGGATTTTTAAGGAAGCATAAAACCTTTTAGCTCTTTTACTGGCTGGGTATTACATTTGCCCAAGGATGTTAGAGATGTATTTTTTATTTTCAGTTTCTTCAGTATCTACCTGGAGATGAAGGAAGAGGTTCTCTTCCTTCATAATCTCTATTATCATTGTACTGTCTTCAGTTCCATTGTCTTTTAGACATCAGAAATTTCTTCATGGTCCTCACAGTTTGACCAGCTCTACTAACTGGTTCCAACTTTCTTGGCTTCACAGATCTTAGTACTGAGGCAGAGATTTTGAGGGTACCCAAGAGCTATGAACTAGGCATCCTTCCAGACTACTTTTGACATCTTTAGAGAAGTATGACAAATGGCCACCTTCTCAGTGGCTTGAGTGTTATTGGAAGCTGATGCTTGGGTATAATATCCATACCCTTCTTGCTTCCGGATGTAAATTCCTTGACTCCTTGTAGTGCAGCGAGTATTCTGTCAGAACACAGAGATAATGTAAAAATGGATATTCAACCACCTTTTGAGTTAAAGGTATTAAAACGATGTGGTTCTCCTTCTCATAGCTTAGTTTATCCCACACTGTTTACAAATTATCTTACAGAATAGGATCACTAAGTTGTGCACAGTTTTTGAGACTGTTAAGCTCTTTCTTGTTTGCCTCTCTAGTTGAACAGCCTACAGAAAGAGCTCAATGAGAGAAATAGAGACACTGAGGAACTGAAACTGGAACAGCAGAAGCTGCAAGGCATCATTAAGTCACTGGAGAAGGACATCTTGACACTGAAGACAGAGATGCAAGAGAGAGCTGACACTATCCAAGACAAGGTGAGGAATTGGACAATTCACTGAGATCGAAGTCACCATCCCTTATTTTAATGCAGATATTTATTTTAATAGTATCACTTGACTGGAAACTCAGTTTTAATCTAAAGAATTTGAGAGCTTTAGTTTGGGATTTTAGTTTTTAGTCGACATTCTAAGCTTTTCATAGGGAGCTCAAGTTCAGGATGCTGTTTCTTGTCCCCTGTTCTGGGATCTGTAGATGGCTCTCTGCATTATTTGCACCCAATTTGTGCAGGTGTGTAGCTAAAGTTCAGTCTTCCACTAGATCTGTGACTGCTGGATTTGCCTCTGCCATGTTTCTGCCTCATCCTAGGGATCTGTTTGAGAGTGCTGTGTCTGGTTCAGATCCCTGTACCTATTTCTTCCAGGAGAAACACATATCTGACCTAAAACAGAAAAATCAGGAGCTGGAAAAGTTCAAGTTTATACTGGATTACAGAACAGAGGAGTTTAAGAAGCAAATGGAGTCACGTGAAAATGATACTAAAACAATGAAGAAGCAGATTCATGAGGTGAGTAGCACTCATTTGGCCTCTGCTACTAAGCCCTTTGTCTGAATACAAAGATGACCTGACAAGTCCCATGGAAGACTCCACCCTGTTTGTTCCTGGGCTTCTTTCAAGGATACACAGCACTGATTCATTATCTTTAGAGCTAATAAAAACGTTTGTACACAATAGCTGCCATTTAATTTTCTATCACGTGCCACCAGGGATCAACACAATTATTTACTCTCCTGTTTCAGTATTTAATTCTAGACTCTGAGTAATATCAGTTTAGCTTAAAAACAGATCTTGTCCTTATGTGGCTGCCCTCCACATACCTTGCAGGATTGGCAAGACACTGCCTTTACTGATCTGGGGGAAAAGAGAGTGAACTTCTCTCAGAAAAGTTGCAGTTTTTATGCAAACATAACTCTGTTTAGGAGTTAGGTACGTGGACAAATTCCTATTCAACAGCTGATCCATATAAAATTTCCACATGTTCGTCTTAGTTTGCAGCAAATTCACTGAAGTAACTTATTTATGATAGAAACTTACTGTGATCTCCATAGATGTACCTTTAGCTCAGCCAAATTAGGACTATTGTGACATAGCTAATTAGTGACTTACTAGCTTTCATTAGTCTGTTTATTCAGAACAAAAGCTTTTTAAATAAAATGCAAACTAGTGAACAATTTGTATGTATGTCAGACTAGAATGATGAAAGCCCCATTCTCTCTCCTGGCCACCATCTTACAGCAGTAAATGCTGTAGTACCCTTATTGTTTTGGGGTTTTTTAGCCTGTTCTACACATGTACCCATAGCTTCTCAATGTGTTTGTTTCTTTCCACTATCAGATTCTACTTATTGTTGCACTTTTTCCAGTATTGACTGTTAATTTCCATCTGGCACGTTTCTATTTAGATGAAACGGTCAAGCTTCAGTTCAGCTTAAGGAAATGAAAGGGCATCACATCAATATCTGAAGTGCAAATTGGAGTATCCATTTTTGTGTTTTCTGCATATTCTGACAGAGGGCAGTGTTGTTCCAAAATTTGTTTGTTGTGTTGTAATTCAGCCGAAAGGGTGAACTACTCCCTCAAGTCAGTATTTCAGTCTCCGGTTTTCCTGTTATGTGTTGTTTTCTCATGTCTCCTTTTAGTCTTGATTTCCTCCTCCTGCTTCCTTTCAGATGGAGGGGGAGCTGGAACGATTCCACAAGGAGAACACACAGTTGAAGCTGAACATCACACGACTGCAACAGAAATTAAAGGCAACTGATCACGAGATGCACAGAGAGAGACAGAAGGTATGGGTACAACCACTGTGCAGGTTCCAAATATAATGAAGTTTGTGAGGACAGAACACCGTGGAAGCATTAATCTGAGCAAATAGGTACTTCAGGGATAATGTGTCCAAGGACCCTGAGAGTCTCTGGTCAGTGGGGACAAAGAAAATGTCCAAGCCTGCAACCAGGTTAGAGAATTAATATTAAAAAAATCCAGTTACTTAAGTGTCAGTTTGTTCAATCAACACATACTCTCCTGGGTTTAACAGAGCAGAGGCAAGTGCTCAACTGACTTCTGTTTCCTTCCCAGGCTTGAAATCTGGGAGCGCTTGGCTTAAACACAGGCAGCATGTAGGCTACTACCTACAATGATACGTAGGCATTTCATCATTAGGATGAAATGAAGGGTGGGCTTGTTAAAGAAGACAAGGACCTCTCGTGTTAGACAACAAGCACATGAGACATGAGAGAGGGAAAAAGACTGCAAGCGAAGGTTAAGGAGCTTAGCAGACAGTGCAGGACTAAGGAAACAGGTAAAAGAGCCTGGGAGAAACCACGTGAGAATGCAAAGGCAATCTTGATGTGAAATCAAGCTGTGCATGTGTTTGATACGTTTTGTGCCTTGCCTTCTCTTGTTTACTGTTTGTGTCTTGTTTATAAATGAGAATGTAGGTTGTTTGGAGAAGGACAGTGGGGAATAGCCTTCATGATAATAAGCTACTCATTTTCAGATGAGATCTCTGGATGCTGGCACTTACATTACCTACTGCAACTAGATTGGTTTATTATTACTGCAAAAAATTATCACTGTATTCAACATGTAGTGCTCATGTCCCCAGTGGATTTTTAAATGATTTTTTTTTTTTATTAAGTGGAAGTATATGACAGCTTTCACCAGTTCTACTAGACTTTCTAGAAAATTGCACGATAGAGTGCTCTGACGAGCCAAGTAAGAATGTACCTACATCATTCTTGCAGAAGCAAAATATGGAAACTCTCATCAAAAGAGTTAAAACAGATCTTCATAATTGTGTGGGCTTCATTCAGGACTCCAAAAAAATGAAGGATGGGATCCGTGAGCTCTACACCAAGTATGTGCAGCAATCAGACTTGGTGAGTCAAAGCCCCGGCCTTGTCATTGCAGACAAATTTCTCTGGTAGTGTAATTACTGAGGCAACACGCTGTGCCCCCTCAGGTGGAGACTGAAGCCGTAGACGCAGATTTGCAGCAGGAGTACATGAGACAGCGAGAGTATCTGGAGAGGAATTTGGCAGCTTTAATAAAGCAAGTGGTGAAGGATCAGGAAATTCACCAAGCTGCTTATGGGCGCATCCTACAGGTAACGAACCTTTTCCTTGTGGTATAGAGAAGGAAGAAGGAAGCAGACTTTAGTAGCCTTACTGCTGTTTTTTAGGACTTTGAAATAGCTTTGGTTTGCTTCCTTGCCAGAATTTCATAAGTTTTTCAAGTTCTTCCATTCAAGGATAATATTCATTGAACTACTAAAGTTCTGTAATTTCCTGGACAAAAAGAGCAAGATTTCTGAAATCAGTTTTGTTTGTCTCCCACTCCCTAATGTAAAAGGAGAGAGGGAATCTCTGCTGACTGGATATTTTTTAAGCAATTAATGTACTTACTTTTTATTTCAAACGGTACTTATAATTGCCATTATAGCCAATTTGTACCTGTCCGAGTGCCAAGCTGTATTTGCTGTGTGGTAGTATTTAGGAAGTGATTTTGGAGGAAGAAAATACTAAAAAAAGAAAATATTACTTTCTTTGGCCACATAGTCCCACACCTACTGGTCTGAATTCAGAACTTTCTGCTTTTCACATCTGGGTTTTTCAAGGAAGTTAAGAAGCACATGATGAATATGCCAAGATTTTCTCCTCAGAATCCTTGTTCCTTACAAGTAAAACAAAGTAAACCTGTGACTAGGGGGGCCAAAGATGCAATTTATTTTCATCTGGAGTGAGAGGATCTAAAGCCCCCAACATCCTAGGAGGACAGCTCTTTTACCGTTTCTTTTCCCCTTTCTTCTCCTTCTGCTCAGTCAGCATTTCCTTTTCCCCTCAACACCCCCTTCTTCATTGTTACTTTATTATGCTTCCTCAGCATCATCAGACCTCAGTGCCCTCCTATGTCATCTGTTCTCTGCTATTTATCCATAGTGCTTTTTCAGTCCTAGACAGCAGCACTCTTCTTCCCTGGCCCTGTTTTGATTTTTTTTTTTTTTTTAATCCTTCTGCGAGTTACATGTTTCCTTTGGCACAAAAGGCTTCAGAAAATGACCTGAAGAATTTCCTTGCTGGAATAGGGTGACAGATGGTGCTCATAATGATAATACTTGATGTCTTGGATCAGTAAGCGTAACATGAAATGATGATTAAAACTGAATTAATAAAACATCTGGAAGATGAAGATATCAAAGGTCCTAACCAGCCTGGCTTCTTCAAAGAAAAAGCAATTCTCTGAATTCTAGTAGATTAATGAGACTTTACAGCCAGGAGGAATTATCATGGTCTCCCAGTCCTACACAGGGGGCTTTTAAGACTGGTTTAGACAAACTTCTGTCAGGACCTGCGTTGAAAAAATAAATGACCTTCTAGTAGATGGCCTTCTAGCTCTGTATTTCTATTATTACTTGCTCATGCTTATATTTTCAGAGCTGTGCATTCCTCTTTGAGTGACTGTTCATAGGTACATTCCAACAGTAATTCCAATAGTTATTCTTACCAGGTGGAAAGTTGCTTGTTGTTAGATTTTTTTTTCCTCCAGCTTTGTGTGCTTGTAATGGCTTCTTTGGTTACTTGGATACGTAAGAACACGCACACTGAAAAATCTTGAAATAACGCTGCTTGAACTGAAGCATGTATAGGATGATGTCTTCTATAACATGTCCTACCTGTCTCTCACAGTCAGCACTGTAGGGACTTTCTAGGCTGTACACTGCATCCAGACATCATATGCAGTTGCACCTGATGGCCTCATCCTCCATGCATTTGATCAATCCCTTTTCTGAAACAGCAGTACTTTGCCATAACATGCCATGACAATATTTATTTTAATCTATCACATGATTGTTGCATTACAGTGCAAGCTTTCTGTCAGAATGCAAAGACTGAATTAATTATCTTTAGATAGCATATCTATTCAAAACAATATTATCTGTGTCAAAGAGCAGCTTTTCAGCATCCAGCAAACCAAACTAGACATTTCCAAGTGGCTCAGATTGCTTCAAACTTCTTTTTTTTTTTTTAAAATAGAATGGTTAAGGTTGGAAGGGACCTTGAAGATCATCTAGTTCCAACCCCCCTGTTGTGGGGAAGGACACCTCTCTCCCACTAGATCAGGTTGCTCAAAGCCCTGTCCAGCCTGGCCTTGAACCCTTCCAGGGATGGGCCATCCACAACCTCCTTGGGTAACCTGTTCCAGTGCCTCACCACTCTCATGGGGAAGAATTTTTTCCTTATAACTGATCCAAATCTACTCTCTTGTAGTTTCAGGCCATTGCACCTTGTTCTGTCACTACAGGCCCTTGTAAAAGGCCCTTCTCCAGCTTTCCTGTAGGCCCCTTTCATGTACTGGAAGGCTGCTAGCTACTAGGTCACCCTGGAGCCTTCTCTTCTCCCGGCTGAACAGACCCAGCTCCCTCAGCCTGTCCTCAAAGGAGAGGGGCTCCAGCCCTTTGATCGGTTTTCTGGCCCTCCTTGGGACCTGCTCCAACAAGCCCAGGTCCTTCTTGTGCTGAGGGCTCCACGGCTGGGGGCAGTACCCCAGGTGAGGCCTCACCAGAGCCCCTCCTGACCCAGGCCACTTTCCAGTGGGTGCTCCCAGTTCTGTTTCAAAGAGGGCACAGCCTGGCGCCCCCGGCCTATCTCTTGTTCTGCCTCCCTGATGCTCCTTAGCTGTTCAACTTAGTTCTCACAGCTCTGCCACCAAGGCTGAGTGGGTCACCCAGCAGTTCACGCCGTACACAGCAGTTCTCATAACCACAGCCCCGGCGCTCCCTGCAGCCCCTCACCTGGGCAGCTCTGTGGTGCCGTGGGAGCTCCGCCTGGGTTCCCACCCAGGTGAGTTTTGGGACCTTGACTGAGAGAACGATGACCGCCAGTGAGACTCACCTGTCGAGCCGGCAGAACTTCCATTCTTCGCCCCGTGCCGCTCCACCACACGAAGGCTCAAGCCCACGCACCACAGCCCCTCTCCCTGAGGCCTCTTACTGAGGTGCGGGCGGGGTCCCCATTGCCGCCCAGGTCTTGTGAGCGTCGCTCGCGAGAGCTGCCAGCATGTGCCAGGGTGCTCCGCTCCCCCCGGCGTCTCCCTGGGGGCACCCCTGG